AGGACACGAGCTATATGACCCGACTGAGAGAAGAGTAAAGGGCTTTTAGCTCGTGGAATGGCGAACGTTAACTTCTCAGTAGATATTACAACGCGCGGTACTGTAAAGTCACCACGTGGTCCACTACCACCTATAAGATCCTTTTAAGGACATTCTATATACTATAATTTAGCACTTCTAGCTTTTAATGAGTCCAGTGTATTCAAATAAATTTATCGAATTAAATATTTCTGTTAATTTACTGCTTTTGTCTTCGAATTACTTGCCATTAATTCATCCTTTCACAACCTCCATTATCTTCTCATGATATTTATGGTAGATGAACATTGATTTTCTATTGCTCTAAAAGTTTTCACTTATTGTTTGATAATTTTGCTGGTAATCACGTTATTGTTATTTATTCAAATCATTGTAGACATTTTATAATATTACGTATTTAGAAAACTATTTTTGAGGGAAATCTATGATCTTTGAATTCAATCTGCTTCACTAAAAGTTCATGACTAGCTGATGATTTATTTCCAAAGTACAGTTGTCATGAGAGATCACAAAACTGTCATGAAATTCTATTCTAGAAATTAAAATTTCAAATGAAATTCACTAGAAACTGCACAAAAAAAAGCATTTAAATTTAAAATATGGAATATTTATAGTACGTCTTTACATTACACTGAAACTTCATTGATATTTTACCATTGTACTAAGGTTGAATAGATATCAACAAAGATAAATTGAAAATGTATCTAAGAAAGCAACTTCTAAGGAAGAAACCAAGACAGCAGCTAAGAAATAGGCCATCAAAGCTGTCACCAAGAAGGTTACTACTCCTAAATTAACGAAACCAGCCAAAGCATAAATACATCTCATTTATTAGTTTCACCAACAATAAACTTTAAGAAATAAAATAGTTAAATATTTAAGAGAAAAACATTTGTGGAAAAGTAAATAAAACTGTCAACACTTAGGATGAATTAGAACAAAAAAAACTTTGTATAAGACCGTCTGAGCAGGATAACTACCAACACTTTCCTAAAGCTGGAAGAGTGAAATATTTTCCTTTATAGAATAATTACCCAGAACCTAACTCATGACACTTTCAAAGTCTTCCTTAGTGTATCTAACATCATGAAGACAAGACAAAATGACAAAAGTTTCTGTTCCTGAACCAAAACTTGGTCGTCACATCAACCAGCTTCTAGCTATTTTTTTAAGTTTTTTCATTTTTCTAAACCAACATTGCTTGTCTTCTTGACAACATCCAATAGCAAATAAAGAAGTGGAAGCCATCAGTTTGTATTCTGAGTAAGGTTCCAGTCGATATGTGCGAACGAGTGTACCATTGGCAATTTAGACTATTGAGCCAAGAATGCTCTAGGGAAAACTCTGTGATAACTTTGGGAAAAGTTTCATGGTCATAGAAAAAGTTTCGTTTCTTTATTAGATTACGCTTTGCAAAATGTTATTCTTTCCTGAAATTATTATTAACTGTTCCATGACAAGAATCAGAACAGCAGAAATAAAAAATATATATACAATAATATTATTTAATTAGTTTTCTTGTTTCTCCAATATCATGTTCTACTTCTTGTTGAACCTTTATAATTGTGATTGCTATAGCGTATTTGGAGTTTGTTGAATATGGTTTTCAACAAGTTTAATCGAGAAAACAAAATCTATTATTACACAAAATTATTTTAGTTATTTATTTTTTTTTACAATTATGGTTTATTTATATTTTTACTGTTTTTAAAATAATATTTAGAAAAATTATTAAGATTTACTCTAAAGATATATACAATAAAGAAACAATTATTTTTAATAAACATTTATGTTACGTTAAATATTTGACGTAATTCTAAATTTGAAAATATGTTCGATCAACTTTTTTTAGCAAAAAAAAACGATAGAATTTTAAAGCTCTCAGCTTTACAGTGGTTTGTAGCCAACTATCTTCTATTTATTTCTGGCAAATATATAACTGGTTTAAAAGCACAAAAATTTTTTGAATTTTTGCAATAATCCTCTAATCTAGAGTACTAGTGAATTTTAAAATTTATTTTCATGAACTCACTGATGAAAAAATTAATATTAGCTCTGCAATGATCTCGAATAAACAAGACGATTTTTAATAAAAAATTCCTCAGTAGAAATATTTCACTAAATAAATAAAAGCATTGAAGTCGTTTGAATCCATTTAAATTCAAATGAACAAGTCAATAAACTCAAATAAAAAAAAAAATTTCGAGTTTATTTTACGCAAGTAATAAAGAAGAATATAAATTAATAATGTAATAATTGAAAAAAATATTTCCCTATTTACCTAAAAGAAATACCGTGAAATATTTAATGCAAGTTGTTAAATATTTTTCCAACTTCTAATTAAAGAAATATATTTCATGTACAAATACTGTGCGACACATGCTTTAGCGATCTACTTGTAAATAAATAAATAATAAGAACAGTAACAAAAAGTTTCTTGATTAAAAATGTGTTTTTACAACAAAAAATAAAAGTTGTAATAACACACGTTTTATCAAAGAATGTATTTGAAAATATACAGCTCTATTTGTTGAGTTATTGACATAGTGAGTACCGATTGTATGTAAAACAAAGCTTCTGATCACAATTCACTACGTAGTGAACGCGCAAAGACTGGCACAGTAGAAGGTGCGTTATTTGGGTCGAGAGTTAATACGAGTGAGTTGACTAGTGTGAATAGCCCCTGCGGGCTATACCCAAACAGTGCACACCAACCACAAAGACCATTCCCATGATATATTCTCTTTCCTACTTGCTCCTTCTCCCTCTCTCTCTCTATCTATCTCTCTGGGATCCGAAATCGACTAGATACGCAGCAGTAGCTGTTCGAGAAGTCAATACCCGAGATAGCACCAACCACTCAACAGGGTTGATGATCCCATTGTAGACGACTTTGAGTATTTGCATCATCCTAAGGGATTTTATAGAGGATCAACAATTGAAGATTTAATTATTAACAAATTTAATCTCCAGATATTTTCTAGCTATTCGATCTAGAGCTTAAAATTACTTTGGAAAAATACTTTGATTTGAAAGTACATGCTATTTGCAATTTTTTTTAAACAATCAGGACAAAGCCTTTCAAAACGAACTTAGAAATAAATTCATGCTTTGATGAATTTTGCCTTGTTTTGTTTTATCTAATTAAATAAAAGCGGATTGAAATTACAACGTAATGACTGTAATAGACATAAATAGCAATTTTTAAATTGCATCATTAAAATGAAACGTAATGTTTCAAGTGAGGAATTTACCGTTTTAAATTGTTTTTTAATACAAAACCTCCGAAAATGAATTGGGAATAAAATTTTAAGCATTTTAAAAAAGTAAAACGTATTTTTTTAATGAAACATATATTTGGAGAACTCAATAAATTTGTTTGTTCACTGAAATGATATAAATGTGCAGTGGCTGACTAAAACTCAATTACACTACTTACAACGATTTTTCGAACATGTTTATTCTTCAAACTCTACGTAAAGTTTGCGAAGAAATTAAAGGAAGTTCTGTGTGTAGCTATGAGGAAGATATGAATCCGGAATGGGGTTTTCTCACAAATAGATGATGCAATCGATGTGTTTAAGGGTGCAGAAAATGCGTTTCGACGTAATGCATGTCGGATTTATATTTAAATCAGTTTGGTTCAGCGATTTTTGGTTATTAAAAAAAATTGTAGAATTTTGTTCGATGATATCTCACCAACAGATGATGTAATTTAAATTTTCCAAAGTGTAATCGATTTTATTCGATGGGACTCATGATTTCAAATAAAATTGGTTCTCCAATTTTCTATCTATAGATAAATATACAAAAAAATATTCTCTAGATGCGACGATCTTGTATTGAATAATAATAATGTTGACAACATTTTTCTCATGAATATTTGATGCTATTCAAGTTGTTACTGGATTGTTAATCAAAATATCAAAGCAAAAAATACTTGAGAAAATTATCAAAATCTCTTTACACACTTACAATGAGAAAGAAAAATTTTAACTATTTCTTTTCAACATAATATTCTTAAAAAAAAATTCAATTTTATTCCCAAGAAGTTGATGCTGAAATTCACTTCAATAACAAAGAAATGTTCTTCCTTACTTCAGAATATTACATTGAAGAACTTGAAGTCATTGATACGACAGGAAATAGAATATTGAATTATCTAAAAATTATTTAACAATTCTGAATTTTTTCCTTTCAATTTTCCAACCATTCAGATACTTTTATAGTCAATTAAATTATCAATAATATTTATAGAGAATAAAATCAATTTATTTCATAATACAATTAAATTCAATGTCATTTAAAAAAGCCTCAATGTCTAAACGACTCTCTCAAAAATTCATCATATTTACGAAGAGTAGTAAGAGTTTATTTGAAAAAAGATAAGTATTAAATATATATTTCATAATATTTCCTGTGGTTTTAGTGAGATCTATATTAGGATGACACAGATACATTTTCTAACAGATGACAAAGTGTGAGTAAGATATGACTCAGGTCACAGCAAATTGCGCATCCTCTATACAGATCTAGTCTAGGAATAGCATAAAGCGTAGAAATACACCATCAGAAACTACAGAGGAGAGATCAAGGGAAAGATATATCGTCTCTAGTAAATATTCCAGAATATTTACTCTCTGCGTGAGAACTCAACGTCAACAATATTAGCGAATTTATCTAGTATATTTGAATATTTTCTTATTAAATCTACTCACTCAAACGATTATTTTACATCAAATTCATACCATAAATCCTTTTATTCATTAATCACCTCACATCTATGTAAATAATTATTTACTTCATCACTGTCATTTGGCATTTTTTTAAAATGATTTTTTATTTTTGGAAAATATATATTAAAAATAGTTCAATGTCTAAAAAAACTAAATGGCTGTATCAAAAACTGATCAATTTTTCTGAACAAAAAAAAATGTCAATCTTGTCATTTACTGTTATAGAACCAACGACCGAAATTGTGGGTGGACCAGACCTTTATATCGATCAGGGAAGTACCCTCAACCTCACATGTATCGTTCTAAATGGCCCAGAGCCACCAGCGTACATTTTTTGGAATCACAATGATGCGGTGAGTACTCTCTATACTCCACTCATCAACTTTATCAACTCACTTCACTACTCAAAAATTATTTTACGTTCATTTATTCAATATGTGTCCAATTATCTACTGATCTCATTACTATCAAGCTGTACCTCTTCCATGTTTCTGCAACATTTCAACACAACTGTGCCTCCAACTGAATACTTGATGAAGAAATAATTAGCCTATAGTAAAGAACAATCAGGTATTGAACAAAATTTTCTAATGGTCATAAGTCACGACATGGAGTATAAAAACTGATTGAAAAAAAAAAGCTTACGTCAAATAATGATACCAAATCTGAGTTGATTTATGATAATTTCAATTCTGAGTTTGTAATCTTTCAACAACAGTAAAGAAAATAATAAAGTAATAATTTGATGTAATTATGAAATAGGTAATAAACTAGTATTCATTAAATTGTTTTTCAGAATTCTGCAGAAAACAACGCTATTATTTAATTAATGATTCCGTAGTTCTGCGATACTTATAGTGATATAACACACGAGAATGTACACGCTAGAGCTGCCATATCAACTGAATAATCTTACGTTTATCGTGGAATATATGTATGACCAAGTACTTAGTCAAGTACTTTGTCCTATCGCGAATGTAAAGCTTGAAAAATTTCGTTAGAAAAAAACTTTTCTTTCTGAGTAATTACACTAAACAAAAAATAATGAAATAGAGTTTGTGTACTTGAGCTGTTCAAATACTCTGCTATCTACCATTGAAATCGATTCCACGACTCAAGAGGACTGGAATGGTAAGTTTGTGATACAAACTGCCAAACAGTCTACTGTCATCGAACAGTCTTAGGTCTGAGCAGTTTTCAAGACTCTCGTGGGATTGCGAATGGATATTCATTCTGCAATTCAAACTAGGCCAAACGAAGTAACTTGAATTCTCAAAACCACGTTGTGACGACCAATTGCTCCCAGAATTCAATTAGATATTTTCAAGAACTTGTTAACGAAAACTTCTGTTGTTCCTCTAGTCATTCTTAATAATAAGTCAATGTCGAAGTTTAAGTATGTTTGGTCAACGGTTTATGTAATAAGTGACCTGAAATGAACTTCAACTTTTACCAAAGTTGGATTAAAATTGTAAACTAAACAGAACTGTAGAGCACAATAGAATAATCATGAGCTCATAATATTATTCACTGCCAGGAAAGAACATTATTTTTATTCTCACCGTGTCAATGACTTTTGATATTTCTGAATAGATTTTTCGTGGAATATGCATTTACTATCATTATTAATTAGTGTCATTTAATGTTTTGATTTGAGCTGATAAAACTTTAGAAGAGATTATTATAGTTAGAAACGTTGATAACTTGCATCAAGAAGCATGGAATAAAGAGAATTAATGTCAGAAAATATATTGCAAAGTATAAATCAAGGAGAGTAGTAAAAACAATTTAATCGAAAAAGATAGGATTTAAATCGAGAGTTATAATTGAATCAAGAAACAGTTTTCCTTGAGGAGTAGATAGATGGGTTAGCATGTCTATAGGTTAGGCTCATCTACAAACATCTCCAAGCACAAAAGGAATTGATGATGAGCCAATCTATTACTTGATGATTAATTTTTTGTGTATAATTAGGTTGTACTATTTATTTGAATTCATTTTATAGCTCTTTCCACATGGAAAAATTTTTATGAAACTTTTAATGACGTGCATAATTAATTTGAATGGTTTAGTTATTAACCTGTTTATTCTCTTTGCAATATGTATTTTATTATTCCAATTAATTTATTTCACAGTCTAGTAAACCTGATATTTTATTTTAAAGCTTTAAAACAAGTTACGAGAACTTTATTGAGCAATCATAAATTGAATTCAGCAAATGCATCATCGGTATTTAAAATGATATTTAATCATTACAACTATTAATGCAAGAATGAAAATAAGAAACTCATAAAAAAGCTATAGAAATTGCTTTCCTCTTTACATCTGGTGAATTAAAACCCTAGTAATATCTCTCAGATATATTACTTGAATCTTGCGTAAGAAAGCATTGAACAAGTTCAATATTTCTCATCAACTATTTTCTAATTTTTTTCGAATCTTTCTTCAAGTAATAAAAATACGAAAATGAAGCAAGCTTATTATACTTCTTCTTTTCAATCACTCTACCATAGCATACGCATTGAAATAAAATATTATAAGTAATGATAATTTCAGTAAAAATATAAAATTATTTCTCATTGATACGAATAATCATTCTAATTCAGAAGGTAACTTGAACTAAAGTATAATTAATGCCAAATGAGATAAATTGTACATTACTACGTAAATTGAGAGCAGAATAAATGTAAAAGATATAATAAAATTATGAGGAATATTTTCTACACCAAGTTAATTGAAAACATTAATTCTGATCAAAAGCATAAGATGTTCATCAAGTTTTTTGCACTATTGCAAATTAATAAGAAGCTGAAATGGAACTCAACTATTCGTAAAATTATACAACTTTTGATTGTCATGAAAATAATAAACTAAACTATACATTGTAACATGGAAGAAATATCTCGTACTTTACTGTAAATAATTTGATAAATATAATTATTTTCATTTAGAAATAAATATGTCAGTAATTTTTAATTTATAGCCAGTCTCAGGGGACTACAAATACTACTGTTGGTTTAATAATTATCGTACTACATTGCCCACGGTAAATTTAAATTAATGACATGTATAACATTCATGATATGTAATAAATAATCATCCATGATATTCTATAGCATCAAATTCGTGGTTTATATTGAGAAAGTGATGATTTAAAACATTAATTTTTTTAAAAGCTCCGATGCCGGGTTTTCATTCAACTGAAGTATAGACTCAGGGTTTTAATTAATTCAATTAATGTATAGCAATTACATTAAAGGAAAATATAGGTCAACTCCGAAACACTTTGTACCGTCAAATACTAAAAGTCAAATAGTATAACAAACCAAGGATAATACGTTTATCGAAGTTGGAAATGTTCAGTCTGTTATTACTTACTTTTACAGTATTTCCATTAAAATAGGATATCTTTAGTAACAATTAAATAAGATTAAGTGATTGGAAAGCCAATTAAAAGATTCTCAATCCAAGTAGAATCAAAATTAGGAAGGCTCGTGCGACGCATAATACCTTTACCTTACTACTAGAAAAGTGAGATGGAAAACAAGCTTGTTGGATTTACGCCAGAAATCGGAAAGGGAAGGTCAACTCTCAAAGAGCATTGCCAAATTACCGAGCGGCAAATTCCGTTGACTTGAATAATCGCGTGTTTCATTGATTCCCAACGGCAATTCGTTTCGGCTAGACGACATTATTTTACCCAGCTGCAAGCTCACTAACTATGTACTCCTTCTCCTTATTGAATTCAAAAGTAAAACAGACATTCACTGCAGCTTTTTTTTTACTATTCATTTCCAATCATTTCCTCAATGAATTAATTCTCTTTTATTAGCCTATCAAATCTGCACGGGTAATTGAATGCTAAAATTGAAGCTAGTATTTTGGAATTGTTAGTTAAATTGCTATTCTTGTGACTAAAGATTTCTCAACATCCCAAAGAATTTCACTGTTATATAAAAGGACCTTAAGTTTGGTGATAATGCAAATAATTTTCTTGATATTTGAAGAGAATTGTAACCAGTACCATCGTAAACCAATCTATTCTGTGGCTGGTAGCAAATAAAATTTATAATAAATTACCTTTCATGTAAATTAATGTGAAGTCGTTGAATACAAAAAACTTTTAGAATCACTTTATTGTTTTTTTTTTTCTATTTTTGATGAAAATAAAGTTTTAAAATTTTAAGCACTTTTAAAATATTTGTTTATTGATGAAGTGTAATTCCAATATAAGAGGATCAAATTGCAACAACAATCAATTAAAATTACATTCATATATAGTTGAACAATAATTATTAATTACTATAAAAATAAATATTATAAAAGTGTTAAATAATGAATTATGTAATCGAATATATTAGAAATGTTATCTCATGGATGCGAATTTTCTAGTTATTTATAGCTTGAAAAATCCCTCAATCAAATTGTAAGTGATTTTTTATTTATTGAATAATACTCGATAGTATTTCAATGATTCAAAATCATTCAGCCTAGATTTTTTCAGTGATATAGTCGAATGAATTATTTATTGATTAATCTATACTTTCTATAGAAGAGAAAAACTGATCAGTGGATATTTTAATTTTTTACTACAGCATTAACAAATAAATTCCACTGACCTAAATGTGTTGCTTTTATTTCAAACAGAAGAAAACAAGACAAATATTTGAGTTTTAAATGAGAAACAAATGCATCTAAACTACTTTTCAAATCTTAAATATGATTAATAACAATAAAATCTTTTTCTACTATAAAATAAAAGATATTTCAATTTGTCTGTGAACAAAAAGAGTATTAGGCTAATAAAAAAAAGGAAATTGTAATAAATAAAATAAAAAAGAATAAGTGTATTACATTGTAGAACCGTAAATCCATCGGAGTGGGAGGAAAGAGGGTTAACAGCAGAGAGAATAGGATAAGAGGAGGTTCGTTGGTTCTTCTTAGGAACAGTAAACGGATTTAGGTATTCATGAAAACGTTTTCTTCATAGCCACGCCCTTGAAGGGGTCAGTATGCCTCAGTTTGTCAAGGCATGAGAGTATTCATCAGTACCACCCTGTTAAAACCAACTCTCGTCATCTCCTTCTTCACTTCCTACGTACACAACTTGCACCATTCCCTCTTTCCTATGCCTTCCTCACTCTACCAAGATGAATGTTTAGCCAGAGGTGAAGCGCACGACAAACATATTCAGGAAGTAAAGTATGCGCATGTCGAGGAAGAACATGAAACAACAGCTTAGCAAAACGTCCTTCAGACGCCTCTCGTCTTCCGGAATTCACGGGAACCTTTCTTCAAATGCATCCTTTCTTAAAAGAGATGAAACATAAGACTCTCCAAACACTTCTTCCCTACGAAACAATTCCAATGGATCCATTGTTAATTTAATGTGGGTTTTATTGTTTTATGTAACTAACAAGAAGATAGAGAAGTGACATTGTTCATTGTTTTTTGAACGAAGGAAATTCTGAAGGAATTTATAAAAACTGAAGAAATATCGTAACATGATATTTGACTCATATATATAATACTAAAAGATCGAAAAGGGGAAAAAAATTCTTATGAAATTAGTACAGAAATTTTTTTGTTAAAAGAAACTTTTTTAATAAAAAGCATCAGTGACATTTATTAGTTTTTCATCTGTCAAAAATTGTGTAAAAATTATTCGAGAGAAAAAACATTTTTCTACTTTTTAGGTTGAATTTTTTTAGTTTTTCCAATACTGTCAAGCGAAAAAGTGATCCTCTTATTTTTTTTCACTCCAAAAATAAGCTCAAGTTAAAAATTATTCCACAATCTCATAATTTATACTAAGCCTTTTTTATTTTATGTGAATTATATGAGCCAATTCTGTCTCTTATTAGAGCTCAACTTTGATAGAAATAACGATAGTGGTGTAGAGTATAAGCGGAAAGAAAAAATATTTGCATTAAAATCCATGCAATAAAATTTTTAAGGTATTTTATGTTGTATAAAATTTGCATAGAATGACTCTTTCTTCGTCAGAACTTTCAAGAATTTTCTTTACTTAACTACGAACTTTGGTTGTTTCTCTAAACTTTTCAACATGAAGAAAAAATATTTGTAACATTGTATGAATAAATTTAACAAAGAATATAAGATAATTAGTTCTAAGAATAATTACACTCGACAATAACAATTCTACTGAAATAGAGACAATTAATACAATAATAATTTTATTTCTCTTTTTACAGATAATCAGCTACGATTCTTATAGAGGTGGTGTTTCTGTTATCACAGTGAAGGGTGAAATAACGACAAGCTTTTTGTTGGTTCAAAATGCCATGCCTTCAGACTCGGGAGAATACACTTGCAATCCAAGCAATGCTCAAGCCAAGTCTGTTACTGTTCATGTTCTCAATGGTGAGCAAAAACTAAATGTCTTTCTATTTTAAAGACAAATCCGTCGATGACATAAAAAATCAATAGATGAAATCTTAATTCCTTTTAGTAAAACAGAAGACAAAAGCAATAAAATAAAATACCAAAAAGCTAGACATCTAGAGGAAATACAAGTGTATATATTCCTAATAAAATTATAAAATAAAATTTTGTTGTAGACAAACAGGCAAGAAAATATTCTCAACGTCGAGATTCAGATATTTGTAGTGTGTTCCTCTGTTTCAGGAGAGTATCCTGCGGCAATGCAGCATGGTGGTCAAGCAAAACAACCCAGATTTTATTCTCTCCTACTTTGTCTCTGTCTACTGCTCTATTAAATTTATCTCCGTAAAATTTGCGGATGTTCTTCAAAACCAGTAGTGACACATGAGACTATTCAGCACAGGTCACTGTGTAAACTTTATAAATCGTCATTTTAGTCACATAAGGATGTGCTATAATGTCGGGCAAGAGGGTGCACAAAGAGACAGGTATTCGAAAAGGTAATAGGAGCCAAAAGAACATGCTGGACACTTGGCTTCATTTTCACAAAGAGGGTCAAATTATTTTAGTATATTATACCATCTAAACTCTCATCATCTCGTCACATTTTATTGAGAAAATTTGATTATGGAATGATAGCTGATAATATTTATAACAATCCGTTAAAATGTATGTGTAAATTTTTCATTTATTAAAATCATGTAAAACTATTTAAATACGTTTAATAATTAAGATCTTTTATATATAATGGATAAATTTATCAGTAGATAAGTTGAAATATGTATATTTAAACCATGAAACGTATATTAGTATACATATAGAGTTTTTAATTATTTAAGCTTTATAAATTTTTCTAATGTCATAAAAAAAACTTCATAAATTATTCTTGTAAAATATTTGAATAATTTAATTTATTAGAAAAGTGATGTTTTATATGACTTTAATAAAATGAGAAATAGTTATAGAAGAGATGAATAAAATAACAGCAAAATTTTTTACTTTATAAAAACTTGAAATCATGGATCTCATCATACTGCACCGTAATATAACGTATAAAAATTATGTGTGAAATGTTGATGTCATATTCTTTTTTCAAATAACATTACATTTTACAAAATTCTACTTTTATTTCTTCATTGCAATGGCACCCTTAGTTGTGGGTGTTCGTGACTAGACGTAGAGAAGTAGAGAAGTGAAAGAGAACAAGTGCGACAAAGCTCTCACCACTTTTTCACCTCTGTTGTCGTCGTGTATTACATCTTGACTTCAAGATACTTGTCTTATTTTATCGCAGGTGCGTTCTCATTATCGTTAACGAGTAAGAAAAATTGTGGAAAAAAAAATCACACGTAACAAGCAAAAAAAAATTTTTTTTAAGTGAAAAATACTACAAAAAAAAGCAATGAGTTCGCTTCTTTTTCAAGCATTCGACTCTTGACTCAAATATCCACAGAAAAGAGACTGATTGCTGAACAAAGTAGTTCTTTCGGTCTTACTATTGTCCACAAAATTTCGGTTTAATGTAATCTTTAAAAGATCAGAATTCTAATTTAATAATTTTGAAGGAAACTGAAATGCAAAAAATTATTGAACATATCAGTTTATAAAAAAAAAAAATTTATGTCTAGTTATAGAAGAATATATTTATTTCAATTATTGATAAAAATTATTCTTAAAAAAAAATTTAATCTTGAAACCTATCAAAATTTTTTATTATGTCAAGAACTTTTGCTATTAAACATTTATTATAGTAAAATCAAATGATTACTGCCATAAAAAAAATTTTTTTTTATATCTCCCCGAGCAATGTTCGATAGCAAATAAATGTATTTTTCTAACTACAAATAAATTTTTTTATTCTATGACTTTTACTGCCTCACCAAATGTGTCGAAAATAATTTTTCAAAGCTTAATTTATTTTTGTCAATAAAAAAAAATGATTTCATTATTGATCGTAAAATGATTCCTAAAACTAACTGCTTTAAAAAAAATGTCATACATTCATACACATAAAGGGCTAATAAAAATAATCATTAATTGTCTCCATATCAAATTTTCTTAATATTATGAAAATCATGAGTAATTTCGAATGCCTGTCATTTTAAATTCTTGCCTCATCGTGGATCATAAAATTACCACCGTAATTGATTCTCAAATTGTACATATGTATTATGAAAACGCTTTAGTTCTTTAGTTCATCTCGACAATACAATTTCACAATTAAAATAATTCAATAAAGTATCCTGTCATCTAGAATTTCCATAACTTTTTTATTTACCCATTTTTCATACAATACCAATCAAGTTATATGCTACTATCCAACGATTTATTTTCAGTTAATAGATGATCAACTTGACATTAACAAGATTATGAAAAATTAAATAATAAAAACTGGAAATGTTCAATTGAAACATAAAAATAAATGATAAAATATAAAATCCTCTGCCATAAAGACTCTACTAGATTTTGTTTGCTAAAATGAACAAGAAAAAAAAAACTATATATAAATAAATATACTTAAATAATAAATGTAATAATATTAAAGTGATTATCCTGTAACCATTAACAAATCATCTATCGCTATAGTAATGAACAAAGCTAGTATGTGTAAATTTTATTAACAAAGTTTCAACGTGATTATGTGCATGTCGACTTAAATAAATCTTATTCAAAACTCGGGCAATATGTACCTGAACAATTCAATATCTTTGATCACAATTTTTATTTTAATTGAAAAAAAAATTATGTTAATTAGAAAAAAATCTTTATTAATGAAAGAATAATGTTTTAAAAGTTTTTCATCATGTGATAACTATGTTGAATTGTTGCTAAAGCCCAAAATTTATATGTAAAAATAATTATGATGAATGAAACAAAGTATGAATGAGTAAGAATTATGTTATGATAATAAAACGATGTAAATAATTATTATAAAATGCAAAAAAAGAATTATTAAATTAGTTATTGACGTGGATGTCTTTGAATAAGGCTTCCTTGAGACTGGTTTACACTATTTAATTTGTGTAAGAGTATTATTATGTAAACATACCGATTAATGTCTACAAAAAAATATGAAACATTCTCATCTGTAATGTCCAATGACTCTATCATCATCTCCATCACTATCCACACTATTGTATTATCAAATTCGGATTCATCAATGATAAAAATTCAAATTTAACCGAAAAAAATTAATACAAATATTATTACTAAGATAACACATATACAACAAAAGCAGAAATGTTAATTCTAATTATGTGGAAACAGGTCAAGCGACTGTTCTAGAGTTCCAACGAGTTCTTTTGATTAAGATATCCGATACTCGAGTTTTTCTGCTCGGTTTTCACTGCGAAACGAGTAAAAATCGCGCAGACTCGACAAAAAAGTAGAAGAGTCATAGGAATAGAAAGAAAAAAAAAAGGAAGAAACTTACAGTGACGATGTCATTTACTGAAAAGACGAGATCGGTTCTAAAGATTTTTAACAACTTCCAACGACCCTTAACAATACTATGAAATTCAAGAGTAGATTCTTTTATTAAGGATCAACAATAAACTTAAATTAAATGGAGAACATAAGAAATATGCAATTGTGTAAATAATATTAACTATAAGAAAAAGAGAAAAAAAAGAAATAATATTATCAATAAATTTTCCTTTGCATTTGAAATATTTGGCAATCGATCATCATTTCACAAAAGAACAAAAAAAAAACGAGAGCAAAAAATTGGAAGAAAAAATACACACACACACATCCTGAAGTCTTTTACTCCGCTCATACATACCGTTTAGATAGGCTAAAGGTTACTATTAAGTGTTTCATTTAGCAAATACAATGTATATTGTATCTATCATCAAAAATAAATTATTAACAGTAATAATTCTGCCAAAAATATCTGATATATTCTTTTTTACCCTCTAAACTTTTTTTTTAGTGATCTTGAATTTATCTGTAATTAAATAAATCATTCTTTATCACAAACACCAGAGGTAAATCAGTTTTTTATAGGGCATTACTCAAGCTTTCACTTTTTGTTCAACCTAATGACTGAAATTCTATTTAAAGTTAATGCCATATTGAAATGAGTCTGGGTTTTTATGTTCTTAAAAAAAACCAGTATCATCATTATTGATAGTTAAACAAATACCCTAAAGTGTCATTTGAGTTAACTTTCTTAAAAAGGCAAAAAAAAAAAAATAAAAATAAAACAAAAGTCGAAGCTCAACAAAGTAAGATAAGGCATGCCAGCATGCTCTCTTAGCAGTATAATAACCTTGTTCGTGGTCGTATATTGCGAAGTAGGTCAAATTGATCGTATCTTCGTCATCGTGAAGAGGGATATGATCCGTTGAAGTACTGTAAACGAGGCAGAAGCCCAAGTAATAAGTAATAAACTACCTTAGCTAGCCGATCCCAATGGAATATTTCACAATAATAAAAAAAGCTACAGCAATTTTGCGCATAACCATCGGCTATAAATTGAATTCAAAAGCAACCACCTATTTATTTTCTATAAAACTTCCAGCTTTGTAGTAATAAAGAAATAAAAAATTTTAATATGCTCATTAAGCGTCTTTTTTTTTGCTGACTGTGACCTCAATGCTAAAAATTTTCACAGGCCACCAGTAAATAATAATAAACATAAAAAAATAATACCAGATTTAAAATAATAATTTCATTAAACTTGCAAGTGAGTTTAGATGTCTTTTATTATGATAATTTTGCCACAATATCATAAACTCATTGAAACATAATGTCTTAAATCAGTACTTAATTGAATTACCTAGCACGTCGTCATCGAACAATCTATTCCTTTCACGTGTGAGGGACATCATAGGTCCACTGGGACCATTAGCTAAAGTGATGTCATCACGTGCAGGTATCACTGTCCTTTCACGTTAAAATTAATAAGATTGTCCTGTATACATTCTAACATGATTGAAAAAATTCCCACGAGTACTAAAACATGTTCATGATGAGAAAAAAAATTTTTTCTCCAAGAAAAAATTTGATAGTGACAGAAAATTATTTTGCAGAAAAAATCCTTTCTAATTTATCTTTTTTATCTTGTAGAATTAAACTTTCCAAAGTAATATTTGGGTAATTGAAAAATGTAGAATAAAAAAAAAATTTTTTTCTCAATGTGTTCACTCCTAAATCATCTTTCATACTATTAAATAACAATTATAAATCAACAAACATGGTAATTTATCACTGACCTTTTTACCAAATGTCTAACAGATTGAATAATCTCGTGGGGTTGTGAACCAAAAGAAATGATTTACACCCAGAAATGGATCGAAATATTTTTTAATTGCTTGAATTAATGTTCTATTGATTAATATACTCTTTAAAAAAACTAGTAATTTTTTATTTCCATTAACTCCCTCTTTTTTTGAAAATAATTTTAATAATTTGTACATGCTTTTAAGGTGAATTGTATTAAATCACAATTATAAATCAACTAGAATGTAATTCATCAAAATTCATTCTCACCAAACTAAAAATATTAAACACAGTGTTAACAACATAAGTAAAACGAGAAATTCGCACTCCACAAAGTGGATTGCAATATTTTTTGTTAATTACTTGAATTACATTTGACTAAGTGATTTACTAAATTTTTTTTAATTTATCACTCTTTCATTAGTACAAAATGTTCTTTCTCTACGTAATTGCTTAGGTCATTCTCCAGTAACATTAAACAACAATTATAAATCAACTAGTAGATAATTTATCAAGTTCCTTTTTTCTCCATCTGTACATAACAGATTAAATGCTATTGTGAAATCATGAACAGGAAAAATGATTCACACTCTGAA